CTCTCTCTCTCTCTCTCTCTCTCTCTCTCTCTCTCTAAGCAAATGTTCATCTTATTTTTTCCCTTGTCTCGGTGAGGTTTAATCAAATTATAAAACAAGTGTCTAGCTGAGAGAGCCTGAAGTCAGGAAGGGAAACAATAAGATATTGAAGCATTGGTTCATATTCATGATCTGATTTTGCAAAGTGTATTAGTGTCAGCAGCAGTGATATTGAAAGGCAAATAATTGCAGAATTTGCAATGGATTATCACCATTGTTCTTCATACCAACATAGCTTTATTTTGTAGAAAAAATATTAATCAATTTTCTCAAATTCATTGGCTGGTCGTGGCGACGGTTAAAATTCAGTGCGTCTAATATTGTTTACTCAGGCGATTCTAAGCTGTTTGCACAAAACAATAAATGCCTATAACTCGTTACCGAACTGTCGGATTGTAAACAAAGAAAAAGCAGACATTTGCACGAAAGCGCTAATTATTAGACAACCTTTTCAGAGATTTTATTTTTCTAACGTGGTCTTCGGGTAACAAACTAAAGCTTTCGTTTGCGTGGTGTAAAGCAACTTACGAATGCATTTTTTTTTAGCAGATAAGCTTTATGTTTTATGAAAACGTTAATTCCGTGACAATCTTTTGAAAGGCAGACAGACGCTAAAAATGGCTGGAATATGACGATTTCAGAAGGGTATTAATGGTCTCGGATAGAAATTATTTAAAGAGATTGAGAACCAAATGGCCACCAAAAACTACAAGTGACTAACTCGTTAGGTTTTATCTATCAATTACATATAAAACCCAGCTGGTCAAGTCTATTGGCAAGCTTAAGGACACACCCCACCGGAGCTTATCTCAGTTTCTTTTGCATGAAACAACAGGCGGTATTTCTACTTTCCCAGTACATTGCAGGTTAACCACAAGCACTTCGTCAGGGTTCTCTGCGAGTTCACAAGCACCTATTAATTCTCCTTGTTAAAAGAGAGTTTATGAGAGTAAATAAACTAGCCAGAGAACAAAGTTTAGAGGGAAAGGGCTGTAAGACATACCTCGCTGAACGCCACAATACGAGTGCTTTTGTTCACTTTGGATACGAACTTGTGAATAATCTTTTCCTCATTTGTTTCCCCTTGTAAGTCGACTATGACAATGGTGATGTTAGGGAAGCGCGCTTTGCGAATCTCCCACGCTACATCACCATTTGTTGGATGATTCTCTTTCCATACCACGACCTCGTCGCCGGGTTCAAAATCCATTCCGTTGTTGATAACAGCGTTAGGGTCGGAACCATTCCTCATGAATGCGATGAGTTTTGGCTCCACATTTAACTGCTTGGCTACGAGGGCTCTCGCCGCTTGGATGGTATACACAAAAGGCTGGATCCTCTTCTGGATGGAAATATCTCGGTTCCAATCCAACGCCATGGCGTTCATGAGACGTTGAACTGCATCGAAGGTGATGGAAAGGTTGGCTGCGTTAATGGGAACTGTGTCAGCGTAGTCGTCGAAATCGAACATGCTTCGCACAAACTTCCAAAGCTCGTCTTCATCTTGGCAAGTAACAATAGAGTTGACAATCTCATCGTAAGTTTTCTGGAAGGCATTAAAGGTCTCCCGGGAGATGAGCCCGTGAGAGCGGTACAAAAAGGCCACCTTGAAGGTGGGACGATCTTGTGGAGCGATAGTCTTGAATCTGCTCATGGTTGCACAGCTGTCTTGAGGTTGCGACGATTAAGGGTGTGTAGCCGAACTAAAACCGCATGTACGTGATCTATAAATGTATACAAGCCCAAGCGGTCACAGCTGCCTGGGTTAATCAATCAAAATCTTTGTTTCCCTGCACAGAGTGGATTGACTAATCTCATGTTACGACTATATTTGGTCATGGATGATTGACACCAGGTTCGTTGGCCTCACAATAGGGACCTTAAGCAAACCACGACGGCGACGGCAACGAGGACATGGAAAAACAGAAGATCTAATTGGCAGAACAATAGCTCAGCGCGTGCGTTTTAAAACTTTGTACATTTCTTAGCCGTCTTATGCAAAGCAACAACGTGAAATCACCACAATCTGCGTCGTCTGCGAACTAAAACCGCGACGGCAAATTATTTTAATTTCCATTTGGAACTCAACGCTTCTTTTATACGTTATGCTGAAGTTGAGGTGTGGCGCCGTATGAGACAGTAAGCAAATGCAGCCATATTTGAAATTCTAATTAAAGGCAGAAATTCATTTTTTAACCGAAGTCTTCCTTGGCGTTGCCGTCCTGTCTACTTAAGGTCCCTAATGTTGGTTGCGTGGTACCGTAGGCACGCATTTTTATCGCAGTCTTTGTTTCTTATCATAACGGTCCACGCCACGGTACACACCATCATAGACGAAATTTCGTTAGGAATTTGTCACTTCAGCATGTTGCGTACTCTGAATTGAAGAGACCTTGAATGACCTTCACAACGGTAATTTATGCGGTGTTCAGGTGACTTTATAGCAACGGGTCACGTGATAGACTCTGTGTCAGAGTGTACATGAATTAGCCAATTCAAGGACTCAAGAAAGAACTGTAAATAACAGAGCTGCCAATTGTCACGCCCTAATGTCAAGTATCGTTTAAAAGTTTTGCTCGTCAGAATTCCAAGGTTGTTATCCAGGGAATTGCTTGAAACAGTTGCAGAGAAAACTTGCAAAATTAAATGTAAAGTCCAGTTCTGATAACTCGAACGCTTGCTCATGGGATTCCGTGATTCATGTATACAGTAGAACGCCCCCGACTCGAACTCCTAAGGGAAATGAACAATAGTTTGTGCTAGCGGGGTTTGAGCCAACGAGTTGGTGTTGAATTTCAATTATCCTGTAATAACAAGGAATCATTTTTTTTACTATTCTTGCATAATCAATAATCATTTTGGAGCTTTTTGATAGGAGTGTTTAGCTTGGGAAATTTTAGCCGAATGTATGACAGAAAAACAACAGCTGGGATTGAGCTCTGTAGTTGAAGACATTATTTTTTTACATAGATAAAGTGAACAAATGGCTTTGTGGTTCTAAATGCATGTACACGGAATAACTTTTCCAGAATACAGCACTGTCCTTGTTCATTGAACGTTTAACTCCTGTACATAGAGCCGTACTAGTAACTAAAGGTGCGAGTTCAAAACGGGTTAAGCTCTAACGAAGAAAAAACTATTTCAGTTTGCGTACCAAGATGATCAAGTATTTACACTGGAGTTTTTCACCTTAATAATCTGGAGTTTCAGCTTTAAAATTGGACGACCTAACAACAGTTGAAACTCCTTCTGCAGTAAATATCCAGTTTAAAAGCTCAAGGGATCGCTAACTTTCACTCCCTCCCCCTTTCAAGATTGATTTTGACATTCATGCATAGTTCTAGTCCGAGAATGTTTTTGTCGGATTGGCTGTCAGTCAAAGAACTGAACCAAAGGGGATGAATTAACTTACCCCATTTATGCCTGTGCTTACACTAACCACGCGGCGTGTCATTTCATCGGTTCACGGTACATTTTGCAGTAGTTGGAACCGAGGGTTTTTAAAGTGAAATTTCAAAAACAACTTAATAGTTTAAAATTTCTCTCGTATGGAACAAATTGATGTATAATTTGTGGAAAAATCATGCAATTCCAATATTACGTGTTAGTCAACAAAGTGTACCTGAAATCTACCGATGCGGCATTCTCCCAAGTCAAGATCACCCAAACATAGTAAATAACAAAAAATATCTATTGATAAGGAATTTTAAAATGCATGAGCATTCAAAATGGCATTTTTCGGTCTCTCTTCTCAGGAGTTCTACTTGCCGATGCAGTCTGGAGGGATTTTAAGTCCAGAAAATTTGGCTGCGATATTTCTCAATTTGCAGGTAACTGAAATAACGAGTTGATGTAAGCAAGGTTGTTCTTAATTGAAATAATATCCTAAGTGTTAGAGAACCACTTAGGAAAATCCACAACCATCCATACACGTAAAGGTTTTCAATTGAGAATGCCAATATTGCATGATTTTGCCTTCCTGATACATTGACCTACAGTCCCAGACACATTTTTTGGGATGCTTACAACCACCCCTGTCTGTCTAATGTTGGTCTGCAAGATGGTTATGCAAAAATTGGTAATAAACAAAATGATAAGAGAGAGAGAGAGGGGGGCGAAAGAAAATCACAAAAGTTTCTCTGGAGAAGTGTCCCAACTAATTATGAAATATAAAGATTAATTATCAGATTTTTTCTCACAAACACACGCAAAACACAAAAGAACTAAATACAGTTTTAACAAACAAATTTGACATCAAATGTTTATTTTGTCACCAGGAATTGCTGGAGGTGAATTCAAAGTTTTGCGCAAAGTTGCAGAAAAGTTTGGAAGAATCTGTTGCAAATGGTGATGAGGTAATGGACGAGCGTAAGGTTGACGCTTTACTGTTCTTATATTATTCAGGTTCTTAAACCCTACAACCCTTTGAGAGTGATCAGAATCTAATTCTTCCTTTCAATATCACCCCTGAATCGTGCATTAAGGCTATGAGAATAAAGGAAATGATCAGCAAGTAAAGACTCCCTTGATTGTTTAACAAATTCTTCCTTGTCAAATGTGTAGAGATCAGTATGGAAAATATGCATACGGATGTTAAGGTGTAATCATAGCGTGTCAACATAGGGGAGCTCCCAAAATAAACTGCATTACCATTGTCTTCTTGACTTATTTTTGCCGCCTTTCATAACTTGCCATTTCAATTTTGGAATTCAAAAGAAACCAGCGACAATAGCTCC